TGAAGCTTGCATTTGGGGACCATGTGATGAGGTCTATGGTCTTTTGGCTATTTTCGAAGACTTTGACCAACAAATATTCAACGAAGCACCTTCAAAAATTTCATGGGGTGACTTTGCTAAGGGCACGGTTTAAATTTTAGTCATATTAAAAAAATTGGGTAAAAATGAATTCTCCCTCAGAAATTGTCACAAATGGCCACAATTGTTCACATGTTGGATTATGATAATTTTTATTGAAATCTGTCATGATCCACCAAAAGTTTATGGCCAATTTCTGGTGATTTTTTCCACGACTTTTTGACGATCATCCTAATTTGTGGTAATATTATTCTTGCATAGGTTTATTCAAAGGAAAAGAAGTTGATAAAAGATCCAATCAAATATGGGAAAGAGAATATCATGTCATGAATTTATGAGCGAAAATATAATCAAGGAAGATTATTTTCAAAGATTGAATCTTCAAGTGCCATAGAAGGAATTGAATAATATTTGAAAGTCAAATTTCAAATATGAATGTCTTAATATCAGAAGAAGACTCTATGAAAGTTATGGAAGGAAAGTTCTTCAATATCTTGAAAGGAAGGTTGCTAAAATTTTGGAGAAAATTTGTTATTTTGTGAAAGGAAGATACTATATGAAAGAGATATTACAAAGCCAAGGAAGAATATATTTTTTGTGGGAAGAAAATATATTATGGGTGTAGTAAAATCTATATTATGGAAAGAGATTATTTTCCAAGACCAAGAAAGAAATATTTTTCATATAGTAGGAGTTCAAAGATATTTTGAGATCTATTCAAAAGAAAATTATTTTTCTTAGTTGTGGAAATAATAAATTGTTATTGAGATTTTTATATTGAAGAGAAAACTCAAGATCCAATGTCAAAGGAAGAAGATCTTGAAATTCTCTTGGGTTGTCTAAATAAGAGCTCACTTGTATTGCTAGAAGAAGAGTTCACAAATATTAAAGGGAAGAACATTATCTATTCTAGAAGGAAGATATCCTGTTCAATTTTGAATATATTTACTACGAGTTTGGAAGAAAAGTGTTGGGTTTTACTGCAATATAAGGCAAGACTATTAAAAAGATCTGTCAAGTCACTACAAACTTTTGATATGAAAATAAATTATATTTTCAAGATCTATATACAAAAGGAAGCTGTTAATCAATCTTGAAAGGAAAGAAGGAGACAAAGCGAGATTTTATATCCACAAGCCAGGAGGCAAGCATCAAGCTGAAATTCAAAAGTGTTTATGGACAAGGATAGAAGAAGGAAAATAATGAAATTGTACAAGATTGATTATAAAGGAAGAGGAGCAAAGCTTGGAAAGAAAATTTACATTTATGAAGAAAAGAAAAAGCAGTGCGGATGGTATAAAAAAAATTGTTTAGGATTTATATACAAGAAAAGAATATTTATTTGTGAAAAAGAATCAAGATTGGGAAGAATTTGGTTGAAGGAGCATAAAGAAAATTCCCTTAAGAAGGAAAGCCATCATTACATTGACCATGGTATAAGGAATATATATTCTGCATTAATGAGACACATCATCAACAGTCATATTGGAGGCAACAATATAAGTTGAAGAGCGACTAAGAAGAAGACTTAGGCAATCTTTTATACAATTGTTTACCCAACTATAAATTCTTTATTATACTCTTAACAAGTGGTGTAATTCACTTTTGATAGATTTACCGTATACACAAAAGAGTGAAGAGAGATAGAAAGATATTGGAGAGGCAGTGTGTTCTGAGAGTTGTGTCATTGTTTATTTCTTGGGTGAGCAAGTGAAAACCAAAGGTCGTTATTGGTGAGCGAGTAAAAATCAACCTTTTGCATTGTTGGTGAGCGTGTTAAAATCAAACCTTGTTCGTTGTTGGTGAGCGAGTGAAAAGCAACCTTGTAAACATTGGTGGTGAACATTAAAAATCACAGAAGTTGTACTCAACTCAAATCACAAAGAGCTAAAGAGATAATCTCCTTGCAACCCAAGGGGACCGGATTAGGATACCACATTGGTTCCGAACCAATATAAAATTTCTGGTGTCATTTACTTTACTGCTTCCATATTATATCATTATTGTTTGTTGTGATTAGTACTTGGTTAAACCGAAGTACTAACAGTTTTGTACATATTGTATTTGTATTAGTCGACTAGGTCTGAAGAGTAGTCAACTAGAAATTTAAAAAGGCTACAATTCAACCCCTCTTATACTTTCGATTACAAGAAAACCTAACTACGCAATTTTTATTGCCAGTTTCAGGCAATTTTGTCATTGTGGATAATTTATGTCCATGAGTCCATTTTTGTTACAATATTTTTAACATGGCCAACATTTAGGCTGTGACATTAAAGGATCCTATTTGGTGCAAATCTTCCGGGCCACCTTTGGAAAATAAGGGTCCTTTAGGTATGAGTTAGGGCCCAATATAGCATTTACTCTTTCTCCAAAATGCTAAGGTGCACAATAGGTACGCATAGAAATGGCGTGGGATAGCCATTTTTTAACATGGTATTTAGTTTTATCCAGTATTTTTAATGCTGAGCAAAATAGCCACTACTCTATTAAAATTAATACAAAAAGATGTTTTTACCCTTTCTTCATGAGTATTGTGTAAATATTAAGGATATGGTGTGCTTAACATTTACACTGTACACATGAAGTTAAGGACGCCATGTCCTTAACATTTACACTGCACATATGAAGTTAAGGACATGATGTCCTAAAGTTTAATAACGGAAAGTGCAAATACAGGACACTTTGTCCTTAATATTTTTAGAGCATTCATGAAGTTAAGGACACCTTGTCCTTAATATTTACACTGCACATATGAAGTTGAGGACATGGGGTCCTAAAGTTTAACAACAGAAGGTGCAAATACAAGTTAAGGGCATTACGTCCTTAACATTTACACTGCACACATGAAGTTAAGGATTCCATGTCCTTAACATTTCACTGCACATATGAAGTTAAGGACATGATGTCCTAAGGTTTAACAACCGAAGGTGCAAAATAGGACGTTTTGTCCTTAATATCTACACAATATTTATGAAGTTAAGGATACCATGTCCTTAATATTTACACAACACTCATGTCTAGAACAGGGGTATTTTTGTCCGGGCGGGTAAAGACTTATTAAGCACTGGCTAAAGAACAAATATATTTTAAACAGTGATTAAAGAGTAAAGACATCTCTAATCAGTGGCTAACTGTGCACTTCCCCTGGGTACGCTGTACACTTGAATGGGCCTTTAGCACCGGGCTGAAAGCCCGACAACCCAGTAGAAGGATGTAGCAGGGAAGTAAAAATAGCACGGTGTAGCCAGTTTTCGGACTGGTCATTCAAAAATAGCCAGCGTTTACCAAGTCAATGAAAAATAGTCACTATTTTGCTACAACAGAGACCGGTCCAGCATAATATACTGGAGTTCGGTGCACCTGTGTATGAATTTCCAGCGTATTATGCTGGAACTCCAACACACGGAAAGTTCCAGCATAATATACTGGAGATTCGAGCACTTGTGTATTAACTTCTAGCATATTATACTGGACCGGTATACTTTGCTGGAACTCCAGTATATTATGCTGGAGTTCTAGTGTACTTATACTAAACTCCAGTATAATATGTTGGAGTTCAAGTATACTTATACTGGAACACCAACATAATATACTGGCGTATTTTCCGAATTTTGAACAGTGTTTTCGTTCAAATTTATCTTTACATGAAAAGTGGCTAAATTTCAATTACTTTTGAAACTGGGCTATTTTTGAACGACCACTTGTAAATCTGGCTATTTTTGAATTTCTCCCAGCAGGGAACTACCGTCTTTATTTGGAAGAAAACGCAATAAAAGAGTGGGACTATTGCTTACTGATTACTAACATTTTTTGGCTTCATTAATGATACAAATAAATGGTCCATGTGTTGGCTGCAGTTGGAAGATACCCTCATTTAATTTTCTTTCCTACTTTTTTCGCCTTCTTATTCTTATATACATACCATGGTGATGTATATGTACATGGACAATCCAACTAAATTCATTGCTTTCATCTCGAGTTATGTATACATATTAAAAAGAAAAAAGAAAAAATATATCACATATAATAATATCACATTCATTCTGAATCACTAGTTTTAAATTTTGAACTCGTAATTTTCATAGTACAGTAAATTCAATGCTAAGAAGGAAAGTCTTGACGTAACTGGTAAAGTTATTGCCATGTGACCAGGAGGTCACGAGTTTGAGCCTTAGAAACAGCTTCTTGCAAAGATACAGGGTAAGGTTGTGTAAAATAGACCCTTATGGTCTGGCTCTTCCCCAATCCCAGGCATAGCGGGAGCTTAGTGCACCGAAAACAAGCTCTCTGACATCTGTGACGTATTATCTATACATAGTGTTACGTACTTATATTTGAATATTTGATATTTTATAGGACTTGTATTAATGTTTTGTCTCGGAAACAAGCTCTCTAACCTGGAGGTAGGAGTAAGGTCTGCGTACACACTACCCTCACCAGACTCCACTCGTTGAAACTCACCGGGTTTCTTCTTATTGTTGTTGTATTAATGTTTTTATATTGTTTATACTCCCTCCGGTCCAAAATAAGTGATTTTTTGGATGTTTTCACACAAATTAAGAAATTCACTTTTTAGCATTAATTAGCAATGGAATTGACCATATTAACCTTTACTATCTCACATAAACACTCCTAACACATATACCAACACTATTTACTCCAAGGACAATATAGGAAAAAAATAATTAATTCATTCTTGAAATTTGGAAAAATCACTTATTTTGGACCACAAGAAAAAGGCCAAAAAATCACTTATTTTGGACCGGAGGGAGTAATATATAGTGGAGTAGAAAGTATTAAGCTCTCAGTCAAAACTCAAAAGTATATCTTTCCATATATAGTGTCAATGAATGGATTGATAGAGAAGTACATTTACTTCCTAGCTACCTAACAAACTGGCAATAAATTTTAATTCTCCTCTGCTTTAATTTCCTATCTGTCTTGAAATATGACCTTTACACTCTTTGGTTTTATTATTACTCTCCAACTTTCCTAAGCTATCATTACTTGGACCTTTGTTTTCTCCCATCTAATTTGGTCAAAGTATTCAGCAGAGTTTGTTTTCCATCTGCTAATATCAAGGTATGTTACTTACTGCATATTTGGTTCAAGCAAATGTACAACTAATCAAAATCTTCATTATTTGAGTGTTTCTCTCAAGTATAAGTGTATGCGGGGGCGAAGCTACGTAGGGTCAAGGGTGGTCAATTGAACGCCCTTCGCCGAAAAATTATATTATGTATAGGGTAAAATAATACATACTTGTTATTGATTAAAAAATAGATTTTGACCACCCTTATTGAATTTTCTAGCTTCGCCGCTAAGTGTATGTATACGTTCAGATGTCAATTATGGGCCCAGAGGCGGAGCCAGGATTTGAAGCTTATGGGTTTGGAGTTCTAGTCCTTTTAAGTTTTTGGGTTCTAAATTAATAATTTGTACATATTTTTTCGGATTTTTTAAGAGAAATACATTGATTGGACCAAAGCGACTGGTTTCGGCCGAACCCGTACTCGATTGACTAGCTCCGCCCCAAATTAGGGCGGTTTCTACGAGTTCAACTGAACACATTGCTTTTATCTCGAACTATATATATATATATATATATGCTGCAAAAAAATTTAAAATATACACATATAATAAGATCACACTCATTTTGAGCCAACTGACTCTAGATCCTGAATTCGCTTTTGCATACATTGGGCTCTAGGCAATGAAGGAAATCTTGGTAGGATGTTATTCAACAGACTTTTTCCTAATCTTGACATAATAATCCTTACCAACTTTCTCCTTTTTGTTTCCAGTGTTGGTGTATATATATGAAGTGTGTGTGATAAAGAAAGAAGGCAGGGGAGGGAACTTGTAGATGTGAAAAGATGGGAAGTAAAGAAAGGGAAATCAAATCACCTGAAGTTCAGTTGGGAGAGAATAATTCTGATTCAGGAAAACGGGGATCAAAGAAGTTGGGCATCTACTTCATTGAATCGGATAGTAGGAGAACGCCTTTGGGGCGTGGTTACAGTGCCGGAGTAGGAGGAGCTACTCCTGTGAACATACATGGGAAGCCTATCCGCGATATGTCCAAGACGGGGGGCTGGATAGCTGCATTGTTCATATTTGGAAATGAAATGGCTGAAAGAATGGCTTACTTTGGCCTATCAGTCAACATGGTCGCCTTCATGTTCTACGTTATGCACCGCCCTTTCTCTTCCTCTGCCAATGCAGTTAACTATTTTTTAGGTATATCACAGGCATCCTCTGTGCTCGGTGGTTTCATCGCTGATGCTTACCTCGGTAGATATTGGACTATTGCCATCTTTACCACCATTTATCTTGCGGTAATCAATGATTTGCTTGTCTAGTATTTCTCCGGTAATCAGGATTTAATCTTTATGGATCCAAAGTTCGTACATCTTTGAAAATATGGGGTCAAAACATTAACATTTATGCTAATTTTCAGGATTTTTACATATATAGGAGTATATATATTTATGGTCGATTGAACTCATTCCTCAAATTTTGCATCTGCAACTGCTAGTGATCACTTCAATCAAGTGAAGATAAAAGGTTAACTGTTTTTGTTTTCTCCTCTTATTTATGGTTATGTAGGGATTAACAGGAATAACGTTATTAGCAACAATGAAGGTATTTGTTCCAAATCAAGAAGGATGTGATCAGATTGCTCTTCTTCTAGGCAACTGTGAGCCAGCTAAATCTTGGCAAATGACATACCTCTACACAGTGTTGTATGTGACGGGGTTTGGAGCAGCAGGGATAAGGCCTTGTGTTTCATCATTCGGGGCTGATCAATTTGACGAGAGAAGCAGGAACTATAGGTCACACCTGGACAGGTTTTTCAACTTCTTCTACCTGTCGGTCACAGTTGGGGCCATCGTGGCCTTCACTGCAGTCGTGTATATTCAGATTAAACACGGATGGGGAGCTGCCTTTGGTTCTTTGGCCATTGCTATGGGCCTGTCCAACATGTTCTTCTTTGCTGGTACTCCGCTGTATAGGCATAGGTTGCCCGGAGGCAGTCCTCTTACGCGTGTGGCCCAAGTGCTCGTTGCTGCCTTCCGCAAGAGGAACGTTTCCTTTCAAAGCAGTGAGTTTGTGGGCTTGTATGAGCTTCCAGGTAAAAGATCTGCTATCAAAGGAAGCAACAAAATAGCTCATACCGATGATTTCAGGTAACTTCAACGGTTGCTCCCTTTTTTCACTTCTTCCATACTCTTGAGTTGTGTGAGCGTCTTATCTAAAAGCTTAAGTTTTTTGTTAGAAATACGTTGATTTATGAAGGAACACATGCATCTAAACGAATTAGATAGTGCATAAATGTAAAACGGAGAACTTACTTGTTCTTCGTGTAGCGGGAGCGGAAGATCAAGAACAGACCGTGCCTGGAGTTAATGGCCAGTGGTGATTCTCACACTATGTCGGAGCAACCCCCTTAAATCACAGTCTACAATCTGAACCCTAATGATAAGCAATAGAGATGTGAACGTGGGAAAATAATGTAGCCCATATCTGTTTAGCCATCCACCGTATGTGTACTTATATAGGATAACTAGGACTGGACTCTTTTCCAACAATTTATTTAACTATGTCTTCAACACAATCTAACGCTCTTTATATATGTATGCTCAATGCAGATGTTTAGACAAAGCGGCTCTGCAGCTAAAGGAAGACGATGGTACAAATCCGTGGCGGCTTTGCACAGTGACTCAAGTAGAGGAAGTTAAAATCCTACTGAAACTTATTCCAATTCCATCATGCACTATAATGATAAATGTCATCTTAACAGAGTTCTTGACTCTATCGGTACAACAAGCGTATACATTGAACACTCACATGGGACATCTAAAACTACCTGTCACATGCATGCCAGTGTTTCCAGGCCTCAGCATTTTCCTGCTGCTCTCACTCTATTACTCCGTGTTCGTTCCAATATCCAGGCGGATCACTGGCAACCCTCACGGTGCTTCTCAGCTACAACGAGTTGGGATTGGTTTGGCTGTCTCAATCCTCTCGGCGGCGTGGGCAGGAGTCTTTGAGAGGTATCGGAGAACTTACGCGATACAACATGAGTACGAGGCTAGCTTCTTGACTCCTATGCCTGACCTCAGCGCGTATTGGTTACTAATCCAGTATTGTCTGATTGGGATAGCTGAAGTTTTCTGTATAGTGGGATTACTTGAATTCCTATATGAAGAAGCTCCTGATGCAATGAGAAGCATTGGTTCAGCTTATGCTGCTGTGGCTGGTGGTCTTGGTTGCTTTGCAGCCTCTATTTTGAACACCATAGTCAAGTCTGTCACTCGGGGAAAAGGCGAAAGACGAGAATCATGGCTTTCCCAGAATATAAACACAGGGAGATTTGATTATTTCTATTGGCTCCTTACAATCATGAGTCTCATCAATTTTGCTGCTTTTCTTTACGCGGCAAATCGTTATCAGTACAGAGCAAAGGATGAGATTCAGACAAACGGGCTTGAATCCGATCATACCAACACTAACGCATCAGATCCCATCAGAACTCCGAAGTTGAGCGTGTTTGGTGGAGAGTAGTACTAAAAAGTGAGAGAAGACCTAACACTACGGGTCAACAACCATATATAATATAGTTGTTCCTTAACAAAGGAAAAAAAATTCGTATCTCATTGTTTGAAGCATTGTGTTTGACAAATTCTATTCTTGTAAGTGACATAGCAATAGCAGTAGGAAGGAGAAGAACCAGCCAAGAAACGCTAAGACATGAGAAAGGAAGAAGAGATAAACTCTCAGTTCCTAGAGATATGATTTATTAATATGCATTGCTTGAAATCATTTTTTCAGTGATTTGAGTTTTTTAAATCATTTTAGGCGAATTAAATACATATATTTGTCCCACTTGTAGGAAATTACTAGGCTTGTTGTTATTGTTATTATTGTTGTAAATACATATGTTTGTGCTCAAGAACTAAAGGGAAGAGTAAGGAGATTGAATAGCTAAACATGTACGACTGAGATTCATTAACCGTGACAAGAATAAAAATAGAAAAGAGTATAACTCCAGGATATATTTTAACGTTAATTTCTACACATCTCATAATTTTGTTTTTCATTTTCATCTTTTATAGCTAGATGGATTTATAAATGGCGGCCAATGTTTTAAAAGGCGAAGGCATGAGGCGAGGCGTTTTACCTCTAACGAGGCGAGGCGTAAGTCCGGAGACATGGGACGTAAGTCCCACGGATCTTTAAATTTTACTAATTTTAAGATGGTATAAAATAAAAATAATTATACAAATTACATTAAAATCATAAAATTATAACAAATAATCTATTTAAAATATTTATAAATTATAACTATGACTAATATGAAAAGTATGACATATATCATAATATGCAAATTAGCTGCAACATCGTTACAACTCAAACATCAAAAGTAATGTATTCGATACGAACTCTTATTTGTATCTCTTAAGAAGTAATGAATCTTGAAAGAATTTTGATATTATAATTTGATATATTTCTTAAAATACTCCTTTTATTTAATATACTTTCTATTTGAAAGAGAATTTATATAAAAACATAATTCACAATTTAAATATGATTCTCTAGCATAATTTATTTTTAAGTTTCAACAAGTTAATAAAGTGACACATAATTCACCATGCAATACCAACTAATTATTTGTAAATAGTTACTAGCTAATACCGTACTATTAAATTAATATGTATTGTATCTCGTAAATGTGAAAAAGAATAATTATAAAAAAATTATGGACTATTATATAGTAAAGACGTAACAAAAGTTAATAAATTAATACTTTTTAAATGAAAGATTTATTTAAAATTAACTATCATAGAAGTCTTAGTGTATAATGTGCAATAATTTTTATTTTAATTATGACATAAAATACTCAACTTAATGATTTATGATTAAGAAAAAAGTAATTTTGACTAATCAACGATCTATTAAAAAAATTGAGGATTTACAAGGTTAGTTACATACAATTGCATAAAGTTCTATTGGGTGAGTCCAGTACGTTGGACGTTGGGCATGTCCGGGGCGTAAGCCCCGATGACCGAGGCGTAAGTCTTACGAAACAAAGTCTCACACATAAGTCCGTGGACGTTTTACGAGTGCTCCGCCCCAGGGCGAGTCCCAATTCTGCCTTTTAAAACAGAGATGGCGGCAACTAAAGAACTAGCAAGACTGACTACAATTTCAGGAATACGTTGACTTTCTTTTATTTTTGTTATGGTAAGTAAAAGTTGTTTCATTTAGTACGAGATCGCTTCACGCAGAGACTGACTCAGGATTTGAAGGCGGCGGGGACACATGAGTGAACTGCTCAATCAGTGTCCGTTCGGACTTTTGATCTTAGTGGGTTCCAAGCAAAATATATGATCTTTTTTACAATATATACACTTATATATTAAAAAAATTGCCGAAGTTAACGGGGTCCGATAACCACTCTGGCCTCTTCTACATGCCATGCATAGGTTCGCTTCTGGCTTCACACCACCAACTTAGCTATCCGACGCTGCTATTAGCATATCAACCGGTACACCATAGGGTAGCTCAACTGATCTTTTTTCATATTTACTAACAAATTTAGCCCGTTCAATGCTGCAATAAATCCATAAATCCAGAAATGAAACAAAGTTGTTCTCTTTCTTCAAGTTGGTAAAGTAAGCACATAACCATTTGAACTTAGACTCTATTGGAACAATATCAAAGAATATAAGTCACCTTCCGCCATTAACGACCGGTCAAGCCTAAACTTCTTCATATAGAGTCTTACCAGAGCCGGATCCAAAATTTAAATCTAATGAGTTCCAACTTTTAAGATTTTCAGTATTGAACTGATTATACTTTAAAATTATGGGTTTAGATCTAATATTTGTTGAGATTTTAGTAGGTTTTTATATATATAGCTATATTCCGTGTCCAAAATTATGAGTTCAGATGAACTCGTAGCTAGTAGGCTACATTCGCCCCTGAGTCACATTATACTTAGAACGTGTATGCGGTAAAAACCGGGGAATCGATTTTCCCCCGACGTGATACTTCGGGGAAGACCCCGGAAGCACGGGATCTCGAGCCGGTCGCCTCCCTCGAAGTCCGCCAATACCTTACCAAGAATAAACGATTACTAGAGGTCCGACGAGCGTAAAAATCCCCCGAGGAATGCACCCGGGGTCGACCAAATCTCCTCAAGCGGTTCGGCACCAGCCCTCACACAACGTAAAGCCAACGGACTGTCACATCTCATCCCTTTTTGCCATGTCAAAAGATTCTGTACTAAGTTTGGGCATCCCCCTTTCTATAAAAAGGGGGTCATTAACGTCTTGTAAGGCAGAACTCCATTGGACCACGAAAAGCAATAATATCTTCTCTCTCTTTTTCTAAATTGTTCATTCTCCTTAGTTCGAAGTCGTCTATATTCAATCGTCCTTTTCATCATTCAGAATAGGCCCGAGGCCACTTCGCATGTATTGTCTTCTTACTTGCTCTTCGCCATATAGCTCAACATTGGTCACAGAGAGCCTTAGTTAATTGTATCTTTACGTATTTCCCCATCCCCGACTGCCCCCGATAACTCGATGTCGGCTCATGCCTCGGCCCCGAGGCCTCTATCGATCTACTCTGCGTCCGGCCAGCAGGCCCCTTCGGTTTGCTTACTGCCTCATTTTAACTCGCATTTCATCGTTATATTGCGTAATCTTAATACAAACTGCCCTCAAAACTAGCTTGAGGATAGATCACGTATTTTTAGAACCCCATTTACAAATTTAATTGTTGTTACCATTTTCACGGTAAACAGAACGTGTTGAGGAGCTCAAAATAGTTTTCTAGTTTCATACATAAGTAGAGTTTAAATTGTGATATAAGAAATTGAGAATTGAGATTTTGAATGGCCTAGTGAATTGGTTGATTTATGATTCCAAGTTGAGATGGTTAATATTTAGCTAAGTATTATCTCACACATACGTTATTGAATTAACAGAATCAACACAAGGATAAGGCAACTAAAGTGTGCATATTAGTAGACACAAGTTAACTAATCATATCCCTCTAACTGAGTTTTCTTTAACTTAGCATGATTTCCTATTCAAAAAGGGCATGATTTTAAAAGTACATACTCCAGGATTATGACTTTGCATATGTGGGAACAAGCGTAGGGAGCCTTAGAGCAATGGTAAAATTGTCTTCGTATGACCTATAAGTCATGGATTTGAGCCGTGAAAGCAACCACTAATGCTTGCATTAGGTTAGGCTGTCTATCACAACTTTTGGGTACTGTCCTTTTTTGGACCTTGCGTGAATGCGGGATACCTTATGCACCAGGTTGTCTTTACATGTGGGAACAAGCATATGCTTGCCTTAAACAACAACATACTTTTCTGCTTCAAATGAAAGCAAACATAATCAAGACGAACAAGTTTCAAGGACTTTTCACGAAGAATAAATATGCCAAACGATCTTTATCCGACTCATTTTCTTGGTTTTGCCTTCCAAGATACCCAATTCCGCTATAACAATAACAACATACTTCTCTGCTATGACAGTATCAACTACAAGAACAAGAAATCTAACACATTTCTACAACACCCAAAAGAAAAACCCATATAACATAAGCAAGTACTTCAGGTATGTCACTAAAACTCGCAGAATACCAAGATTTTCACCAGACATCAAGAGCTACACAAGAATAAGATTTTCTCAACTGATTAATCACATACAGGTCAAACTCGTAACCATAGCAACATAGAGAAACCAAGGGCACATAAAATCCATAAATAGCAGAACAATTTTCAATGGCAAGAAAATCTTTAATTTCCATTCCTCACTTGAAAATTGCAAAAACATATAGTACAAAATTTTTGTGTTTGACTAAATGTACTTCAATCCTGAAATATATTGTTGTCTAGAGATCAGATACTGGGCTAAAGAATATATAACTCCAAGGAGTCCCAATATCTTAACCTTGATGATATCCGTCATCAAAACTGATGGCAAATTAAGAGGTATTGTCAGCAACGGCATAGATTCAGCCTGTTTTGTGTAGCTCCACACGAAGCGATTAAAAAGGATGTGGCTTGGGAATGTTAGAATGAGAAGTGCCAAATTCTTGACTGCGAAAAACCAATCCGGACCTCCTACATCTAATCCCCACCCTGCATTCCCGTGCCATACATTTTCCCATATGCTATACAGGGTGGTTAACACCAAGTAGGCAGAGATAACAACAACAACAGGGAAGTACCTTTGCTTGTCCCCAAAACCCGCAACAAAATCAGAATCCTGATTAAGCAGCAGCAGGATAGGTGCCAAGAAGAAAATAGCACGGTTTGAGCCACCAGTGAGATTGACATTCAAGATCAGGCATATAGCAAAACACATGATCGTAGCAACATTACCAACGGCAGGCATCCAGGCACCCTCAGCAGCCATTCTCTTGATTGTAAAGGTTGGAACAGCAGAGGCTTTGCGTTGCTGCATGAACCTTAATCTCTGGGGAACAGTACTAGAGCTACTTTGACCTGAATGGCTGTGTCTAACTCCACCCCTATCTACTACCTTTTCTCGCATCAGCGAAGCCAGCTCAAACTTCACTTCAAGTGCAATAAGCATAAAGATTGCAGCATATAAGCCAAGAAGGGAAGTCCTTGCACCTTCAACGGCCAGAAGGGTTGCCAGTTTGCTGTCTTCTTCTCCCATATCTTGCACCGCACTATCTCCAATGATGGTTCTGTTTATTCTGACCTGGCCCTCCAACAAATATGTCACAGGAAAGAGAGCCACAAGAAGTGCAAATACCCATGGCAGAAGCTTTGTGCTGGAAGCAGATGGGAAGTGAGTGAAAACAACAAACACCGAAGTACAGACCATAGTGACAACAATGAGA